GGGAGGTAGATACGTAGTAGCCTTGGCTTATGTTTCATTTTATTGGAATTTGTGAGTTGTTCTGTTCTGGAGGGAGAAAGCTAGAAGTTTGTCTGAATGTTGTTTATTTTGCTTTGACACACTGTGACTTTTTTGAAGGACTCTGCTAACTGCAATGGTGGAAAATGGATAATACGATTCAAAAAGGCTGTCTCAGGTCGTTTTTGGGAAGACCTGGTTAGTGAACATATGTTTCTAGGACCTGTTTCATCTGTTACTAAACTCCTGTCATGATTATGGAAAATCTTAACACTCAAATTTTATTGAATAATTTTCAAATTTGTTCCTCTAAATTCTTTTACTTAAAATTTGGTTCGTATAGATCCCAATCACGTAGATTTATACCTGTAGCTGATCCAATCCCATCTGTTATTATGAGTCTCTGTTGTTATTGGTAGTTTGATACCCAAATATGCCATACAAGTTATTGATTATTTGAGTATTTAAAATCCTCTATGAGTCTGAAATGTTTTTGTTGTTACATTTTTCCCTAACTGAACTGAATGCAATAACCTAATGTTAAATTCCATTCCAATTTTAAAATATAGAATTTTCGTCTCTGGCATGCTTCATATATGTTACTTAATTTCTAAGTCCATATGGCTGTTCACCCTCTCCCAATCTTTAGGAAGAATCTTAAGTTTGATAAGATTGAGGTTTCAAGATGTAAACTGGTTAATGAATATTTTCTATCTAATAATAAAGTTGGTGTTCCTGATAACTCAGAAGGAAGCATTGTCAAAAATAAATTTGGGAAGTAACTGCATTCATCAATTTCCACGAGTTTGTTTTCATAGAAACTGTATTCTCCGTATATGAAACGCACGATGCAAATGGGATTAGGATTTTTATGTGTAAGGGTTTATGATTTCTTTTGTTTGATAGAGTTTCTGCATAAGGACTTGGTTATTTTAAAACATGTCTTAGAGCCCTCTCATTTGAGCACTTGGTAAAGAGTTTATGATTTCCTTTGTTATTATTATTATTATTATTATTATTATTATACACGACTAGCTTCTTGAATCCTTAGACTTGCTTCTTGTATTTATAGCTTTTGCGTTTGTTTAGAACACTATTTAGAATATTGCAGGTACTCTATCCATTTATCATGAACCTTGCAATGATAAAAACTCTTAACTACCTATTGGCATACAACTATTACTAGATCATATGTGCAAAATTGTGTTAATTTTTCCTCACTTCTCAGTGAATAATGCTGGTTCTTTGGATGTTAACATAAAAAAGGAAAAATGTTGTAGCAAACAAAGGATATGGTTATGATTCTTATTCGGTTTCCACTTGATTTTGTTGATTAGACACCTTTCTTGCTCTGTTTTAAGTTTATTTATTTATATATGTTAGTTACAAAGCAGCCAAATTATCTTTGGAGTCTCTCTTGATTGGTGAATTTATTTGATCTCATGATCTATGCCCTGGATTAAATTGTAGCTGCTGTTTATTGTTGGAGACTTAAAAATTGTAATAGTATTACATGCAAAATGCAGGTGCTGGCTTTAGTGGGTGATCAGTTGGATTATGGTGATAACATATGCGGTGCAGTACTAAGCATTCGATTCAACGAGGATATAGTGAGTGTCTGGAACCGCAATGCTTCTGATAATCAGGTTGGCATCATCATTTAACCTATTTGTGCATTTGCACTCACATGCTCATGTGCTCAAAATGTATACTCATGTATGTCTCCCTAATAATATTCCTCGTTTTCGCATGAAGGCTGTAATGGCTTTGAGAGATTCGATTAAGCGTCACTTAAAGCTCCCTCACAGCTACGTTATGGAGTACAAGCCCCACGACGCATCTCTGCGAGACAATTCATCTTACAGGAATACTTGGTTGAGAGGCTAGATATACAACTGTGTTTGTCCCAGTCCCCTTGACTGATGCTTTTGTATACTTGTGATCATTGGTTCTGACTTTTGATGTTGGGTGTTTCAAGACTGGTTCTGACTTTTGAATTTAATGTACGAAGCAACATTTTGAATGCTTTATTGTAGTTTCATTTGGTTGCTGGAGGATTCACTCTATAAATTGTGTTTTGTCTTACTATGTTGTTGTAAATAACTGCTTTTCACCGGAAAGAACATGACTTTGTTCATTCAAATGACATATTACTCATCAGGCGTATTTTAATATGAATGCATTAACGTGTGAGATGAGTGAAAAATAAACCATGTTGAAAAAACACAAACTGGTTGATTTGGGTCTGATGTTTGATTGAATGTCATAGGGTTGCACCACTGGCAATTTTGAATTCAGATGCATCACAATGGATTTAGAGAACTAGGATTGGATAGAACATCATAGAGAAAAGGTAGCCGATTCAACTGGGATAATTAGTGGGATAAAGGTTGATTGCTATTGTAATTTTACAAATATAAAATTGAATTTGAATCTGTTCAAATATAAATTGAGTGAAAGTAATCAAAGTATTATTATAACCTATAGCTATTTAGAAATGATCCAAAAATTGTAGAAGATCAAATGTTAAAACGAGTAATTCATCAAAAAAATGTTTACATAAAAAATTGTAGAAGACCAAATGTTAAGACGAATATAACATACTTCGTAAATGTGCCATGAACAAAGCCTTGAACACCTTATCAAATTTAATAATATAGTTTTTTTTTATTTAAATTTCCTTTTTGATATAGAGGACTACGAAGAAATTATTAATCTATGAGATAAACAATATTTAGATAGTTGTTAAGAGGAGATAATGGGTGGATGAAGTGGTTGTTCTTAATGAGATTTTAAATTTTGCTAGGGTTTTTAACAGGACATGTTTTATGTTTAAAGTGAATTTTGAGAAGGTTTACGACTCGATTAGCTGGTCTTTCCTAGATTATTTGCTTGAGAGGTTTGGCTTTGATGGTAGGTGGAGAGTCTGGATTAAAGTTTGTGTATTTGTAAGGAACCTTTCTGCGTTGTGTGAATGGGTGCCCTATTGATAAGATAAGTATTTAAAAGGGTCTGAAGCAAGGTAACCTTTTAATTCCTTTTTTTTGTTGGTTGAATGTCTAGGCGCTTTTTTGAAAAGAGCAGTTTCAATCGGGGTATTTCAAGGGTTTAAGGTTGGGAATGATGGGCTGCGCCTTTCTCACCTTTAATATGTTGATAACACAATTATTGTGGGGGTCTCGACGGTTGATAATATTTAGATGGTTAAGGCGGTTCTCAGAAGTGTTGAGCTGACTTGACCTTAAACTTAATTTTGCTAAGAGGTGCTTGTTTGAAATTAATGTGGGTAGACCCTTCTTAGAGAGGACTGAAGAGTTTTTGCATTGCAAGGTGGGTGCCCTTCCTTTCAAGTATTTAGGGCTCCTTGTGAGTGTGAATCCTAGGAAGGTAGAGAATTGGATTTTGTTAACTTTATATCTAAGGGATTAGCTTCGTGGAGAAACTATTTTACATGTCTTGGTGGGAGAGTTGTCCTATTGAACCCAGAGTTAAAGTCTGACTAGTTTGCCTCTTCCTGTTTCAAGAGGATTGGGGATGACCCGAATACTAAATTTTGGCACGATGTCTAGGTAGATTCTATTGCTTTGTGTGTCCCTTTTGAGTGATTGTTCTTGGTTTTGGAGCAGAAGTCTAAGTGGTAGGCTTGATGGATACTTGAGAGGGTGAAGTTTGGGAGTGAACTTTTAAGTAGAGGCTACCTCCTCTGATTTGGGAGAAGGAGCTTATCGAGTCCCTTCGTGGTATAGGGTGTTTAGATGGTTGAGTCATTCGGGACTTGTGCCACAGTCGATTATAGATAGGAGTGTTTGATTTGTTGCAGTGTTTATGGGAGGGAAAAGTGTCGTCTTTGGGTTAAGTTACGATCTAACATTTTGTGGTCTAGTCTATTTGAAATTTGCGATACATAGTTATTTTTAGACAGAAACAAGAACACTTGGCAATTAATCGCTGAATGTTTTCGATTATTAGTCTAACTTGAAAGTGGATATGTCAATGTTCTGAATTTTGATGTTTCTTTCTTAGACATTCATTTGCCTTGGTATTTAGGGGCGCGCTGGATGAGTAGCTACCATTTCTTTGTTTTTGGCCAATGTTCAGAGTCTCTTTTCTTTAGCTTGCTCTCTTCAAGGTCTGCAGTGTCTTTGACTTTAATATAGATCAAATCAGGAGGCGGTGTTTGGTTGGCCTTCCTTCCTCTTGCTCTTATGTGAGGCTGGTGTGGTGCAACATATGGTATTGGGTTGATGGATGGTTGGTATGTATGTGGGTTTTTTCTTCTTCTTTTGTGTAGCCTTTTATTTTTATTTATTTTTGACCAAGGTTTGTGTTTTTTTTTTTTTTTTCTATTTTCCTCCCGCTGTTGTCTTTTGTCGGTTCTGTTTGTTTTCAAAGCACATCTTGTGCCTTTGTTGTTTCATGTACTATTACTCTTTTCTCTCTCTAATTAACAAATTGATCTGCTTTTCTATTAAAAAAATCTAAATAGTTATAAAATTATCATTTTGCCACTGTTGCTAGTAACAAATTTTCATGCCAAACAACTTATACAATCGTCAAGCGATTCATCCTGTGACTTTTAACAAATTAAAAACTCATAATCACAACCATTCGATCTTGATTTAACGAGATTAAAATTTCATAATCACAACCATTCGATCTTGATTTAACTAATTAAAAACTTAAAATCACAACCATTTGATCTATATTATTAGATGAAATCTTTGACTACAGTTACAACAGACAGTAAACAATCCATTTCTACACGCATAACAACTCTTCCTACTCGAGGGCGGGGAAATAGCACTGCCTTAGCCTAAACCATTAAGCACAAAACAACTTGATAATATAGAAGAACTTACTGAGTTGTAATTACTGGAACTGCTATAAATGTAGTTACAACATGATTGTAGTGTTATAGAGAAATCAACATACACTGTTTACATCATCTATGAAAATTATCGATTATTTGTAGTCTAAATATCCTAAACTGATGACTGGAGTCCAATGATACCTGGTAAAAAATTAGCAATTGTTAAAGCTTAAACATATAAATCAAGAAACATTAGGCCGTGTTAAATTAGAATCTAGACCCTCTATAGCCACCTGTATGGTCTACAGCCGTTTGTACCATACTGCCGGCTGTAGAGGATCTAATTTAGTTAAACTAAACTCAACTTGATCATGTCATGCTACCATTTCTGTCACGCTGAGCTTAATCAATTTCCATAGATCCTCTGCAGTCTTTAGCCACATCTTGGCATGAGGATTAATTTAACGGCCGAGCTAAATATATTCTCAGTCGTTAAATTAATCCGATGGCTGAAATATGGCTGGAGAGGCTGCAGACGGTCCATCTCAAACTACTTCATTTATTTCTTGAAATGTTGTATGGTCCTACCATTCTAATATTTTGACAAAAGTTGCATACCATAGAGATGCTAAATCTACTAACTAATAATGCATGAAATAGACCTAACTCCTAAAGTTAGGGCGGTCTTTGAGAGCGTCCAAGACAGACTATAGCACATAATCCAAAATTGAACTTTTGTTAAATAAGGTCTCATAACATATTTGTCATGGTTAAAGCATGGTTAAAAAGAATTTCTATTTGTTTTGTCATGATTAAACTGCGACTAATCTACATAGGACCTTCAAAAACTTGAGACCGCTCTGCCTAGAGCAGATTATGATTTACTAATGGGAATTTTTATCTGTAAACAATATGAATAGAAGAAGTTTTACCGCATGCTACTCTTGCACCTGCATTTCCAGTAGTTTTGCTGAGTTCATGTCCACCTGTTCCATTATAAAACAAAAGCAATGAAAATTGTTGTTAAGAATCCAGAAAAGGGAAGTAGTAGATTGATAGAAACAAAATGAATAAAAATGAACAAAATCCAACATTCACTGAATCAATGACACAAACACAAATATCAAACACAACACTGAAACACTGACATTCTTAATAATTTGAGAAAGTAGAATAAGTAATGCAATCACATTTGTTGGTGTCTAATACCAAACACACATTCAATGTAAAGTGTCGTGTTGCACAACTAACATTCACACAAACAAATTCTAAGATTAAACTATGAGTAAGCATAATTCTAGAGACAAGGTGGCCTATTTACTTATCACAAACATTTTGTGGAAGCAGAAACAAAACGTTTCGACAAACAAACGAGTGTGGTTCGTTAAATACAAATCAACTCATATTTGAGGCTTACATAAGAAAACAAGTAAATACATGGGCATTGACTCGTAGATTTAACCGTCCGGGAACTAAACAAAAGATTATCAAAGACTGAGACAGATGAATCATTCGAAGCACACAATGAATTCTTACCTCTTCCAAGATCATCAGGATCAGCATGAACAACAACGGCCCTCCCGAGTATGGAATGAGCTCCACTTAATGGAATCTGTCGATCTTTGATAGAAATCAAAGCAACTCCATCAGGTCCTGCAACAATGTTACCCAAATCACCGGCATGTCTCTCATCATCCGAAGAAGCTCCATGATCCTTCTTCAGTGGATTGAAGTGAGGACCAGTGGAGATGCAGCCATTGGTGGTATCACCAAGAGCATGAATATGAAATCCATGAAGACCTGGTGATAACCCTGTTATCTTTCCAGTCACATGTGTATAATTCCCTGCTCAATCACAATCACAATTACTCTCAACGAAACATAAATGTCCCATATAGCTAGATCGGTTTATCGCAACTAAGACGTCCGAGATTCAAACCCTTTGAAAGGTAAATCGTTGTTTTGATATCAACATGTGTGAGGAGGCGTTACTATAATCTCTGAATGTATTAAAATTGCAAAAACATCCCTGAATATGTTTGTGGTTTGTCGTTACATGGATTAAACTAACTAACAATAGACACAATTAAGAATTGTTCTGAGCCGGCCACAGACCCAACGCTGCATAGGCCATGGTAGCCATTGTATATATCAGCGTGAACAACAAAAAGATATGATTCTATTCACAATTCACTCTATTAGGCGTTGCAGTGCTAATTTGTAGTTCCACCCCGCGCAACTGCACCGTAGTAGCTTGCACCACCACATAAAGAACCTGCATCAACAATTCTGGTTGCCGAACAGAAGAAGGACCAAACTAACTAACGAAAGACACATTCAAAGACCTAATTCACTAAGAAAAGATAAAAAAAACGAATGTTTTTGTAATTTCTAAACATTCAAGGACTATAATGACAACTCTTCAAATTTAAGAATCAAAGTAACCATAACTTACAGAATTTCAAATCTACATACATGAGTTATCTAATCTTGATATACCTATTAACCACTCATTGAAAAATATGTTACCAAATTTTGGTGTTAAAACCATAATTCTGATTAAAATATGAAACAATATTCATGAATCGCTAGACGAATTAAAAAATTTTCAATAAAAAAAGCTAAGAATAGAGAGAGAGAGAGAAAGAACCGTTGAGGTATTGACTAAACTGAAGAGAACCTCTAACGTTGTTATCTCCGACGAGGAGAGCCACAGCTTTCACTATTCCCTTTGCAGCTTCCATCTCATAGAATACTGTCTTTTTGTTCCCTATTTCTAGTGCTATAAAGATATCTTAATTAATTTAACAAATTTTAAATATTTAATTACATTACTTCTATAAACATGAATTTTTTAATTAATTTTTAAATTTGTTATCAATATTTTTTTTAATGTATGAAGACCCATAAACACCCATTATTCTTTTTCCTAAAAATAATCAAACAACTAAAGGGAATATAATTTTCAATAAACACATTATATCAACATTCCAATTTAAAGACTTTATATAATTGTTGTAGGACACTCAAGTTATATGAATTATTATTAGCATTGATGTCCATTGCTATTATATCTTATATTATACTTAAATTCATGTATACAAGAGTAAAATAAACTATGAGATGAAGAGGGAAAATCTTTGAAGAGTGATTGTTATGAAGGGACAATTAAGCCTTTTTTCCTTAGCATGTTTAAGAAACTAATTTAGTTGAGTCTTTCATTTTCTTGTCATTTTTTATTTTCAAAGTAAAAAAAAATGAGAGCGAGAAAAGCGGGGATAGACTCATGCTAGAAAGAGAGAGGGAACTCGTGGGAGCAAAAAATAGAAGAAGGAAAGATTAATTAATTCAATTTCATCAACATTAATTATTGTGACACGGAAAATATAAATAACAAAAAATAAATGATAGAAAGTAAAGTTGAAGATGTTAGTGTTAATAGTGAGAATGTTTGTTGGAGTATATATTATCATTATATATCTATCATATACATTCATAGGTTAGTAATATACTCCTATACTCAGCGTATAATACTATCACCCATTATCCTTATTTGTATCTTTTTTTAGTCTCCACACCGTGATATTATTGCGTTACCCAGTAGAACGATATACAATAATATTAACCAACACATAGCATTACGTTCCAACAGTCGCAAAGTAGCGAGACACCACACAATTCTGCTACATTGCAGGTGGATAATTAGCTTATACCTTTGTCTAGACTTAGTACTCAATAGGTAATTATCTTGGATCAAGTAATGACAAACACCTTTCGATGTCATGTCACATCATGAAATAAGTTTTAGGTTGTAAAGGTAAAACAAACATTAAGATTTAAAAGTACCAATATTATGAATGTGAGAAAAATATAAGAGCGAGGTTGAATTGTGTTGACTTTTCTCAAACTTTTTTTTTAAAGTCTGAACCCTCAGTCCAGAGTCTGAATCAGAGACACTCAGAGTTTGAACTCTTGAATACCACGCGAAACCGGCAGAGTAACGACGCAAACTTGTACAGTACTTCATTGCGTTGCAAATCTTCGACTACGCGGGGGAAAGAGAAGAACAAGCTCTAAAAGATCTAAAGAAGAAGAAATAAAGGAGATCAACTAACCGAAACCAAGTTTCGATTAATTAATCCAAAGGGAGTAATGTGCTAATAATTTTTCAAAGGAGATGAAAAATCATTAAAGCAAAAGGGTGAATTATTGATTATACAAGATTAAGTTCATTCCAATGAAGAACAAACTTAATTCAAACATGAATGAAAGTGCAAAACAGTACCAAATGTCACTTAGTATGCATTACAAATCATGTAGCATGTAATCAAAGAACGTGCAAGAATGATCATGATCATACAAGTGTCATAAAATGCAAATAATCGAGAATCGACAAATCGCACATTAAAAGTTTGCATACATGCATCCAACAGAAGTTAAAGAACCCATAAAACATCCATAAATATCGAGCATATAAAGCCATGAAAGTTAAATGAGGAAAGAATAGCAAACAAGCTTGAAAATAGGCAAAAATGACATTCTGTTACAATGGTAATCGGTTACCACCTGCAGGTAATCAGTTACCTGCTTAAAATTTGAAAAAACACGTAAAATCAAGTAGGGTAATCGATTACCCTTATATAGGTAACCGGTTACCAATGTAACGGTTGCAAAAAACAGCTTTTCTAAAAGCACTTTTGTTGCACCCTAAAATTTGACCAACTGATTCTCCTATCTGACTCATGATTAAATTTCATATTCGCAAATCAGACAGATGATTTTTGTGCAAACAGGGGATATCAGAGTTTACAGCTTGACTTTCGTCTATCAGATATGGCAGATCCAGTCCAGATCACCAGGGTTTTTTTTTTTTTCGGGAAATTGTGCGCTCCTCGGTGATTTTTAGCTTGCACAGTGATTTTGAGGATATTCTGATGCCCGGGGATATCTGTTCGATTCGATCTGGTCTCGTGCGCTCTTTTATGGGGGTCATGTGCATTCATCTGCATTTTTAGGGTTTAACAGGCTTTTGTGAATTTTTAACAGGCTTTATAGATTTTTCTGGAATTTAAATAGGGTTTTTGAATATTTTAATAGCTTAATCCTCTTTTTAGAATTTTATAGAATATTTTAAATAGATTTTAATCATTTGTAGAATTTTTAATAGAATTTAAATAGCTTTTATCATTTTTAGAATATTAGTGAATTTTTCTTAGCATATTAAATAGAATGATAAATTAGGATTAGTAGAGTTTTAATTGTTTTTAGATAATATAGAAAATAATATAGTTTTTCTTTTATTACTAATAGATAATAATAGTTTAGAATTTTATAGGTTTTTTAAATAGGTTTAATTGTTTTTAAATCATTTTTAATTTTTTATAGATTTTAAAATAGGTTTAAGTGTTTTTAGATAATATAGAAAATAGATAGTTTTTTTAATGATAGATTGTGATAGATATTAAATAATATTAGAATTTTAATAGAGAATTAGTAGAAGTTTAGAGTTAATTAGATCTTAATTGTTTTTTTAGATTTAATTAGGATAATATAGAATTAATTAGATCTTAATCTCTTTTTTAGAGTTTAATTAGGTTAATTGTTTTTTTAGATTTAATTAGGATAGATTAATTTTAGTTAGAATTAATTGTAGTATCATTAGTTTAGTTAATTAGGTTGATATAGAGCTAACTAGATTTTTTAGGGTAATGAGCTAATTAGGTGTTAATTAGGTTGATATGGTTAGGATTAATTGTTTTTTTATTATTATTCAGTTTTTACAGTTTTTTTTGCCATTTTTCGTATTGGGCCCAAAGCAGTGCAAGGCCCAGTCAGCGTTTTTTTTGTCCAGGTTACATTTCAGAAGTCCAAAAAAGGTCCAGATGCAGCCCAATTCTCCCAGACTTCTCCAGAACGTTCCAGAAAGTTCCAGGCGTTATCAGTATATAAGCAGGAGCATGACACGTGTAAGAAAGAAGAGGCCCCACGCGTTTCTCAGCTATCACGCCACCACCCACTCAGAGATTCTCTCAGAATCACGCCACGCCACCTCACCACGTGGCTCCTTCCCAGCAACCCCCTCTCACACGCGTGACACCTGTGATCCACTACCCCCTTCCCACCGCCGGCCATGCAGCCGCCGTGCCGGTCATCAGTAACGGTCACCGGAGAGCAGTAACCGTCGCCGGACTTCGTCAGATCGTCGGAATCTGCAGAAATTCCCAGAATTCCTTCTTTCTCCTCCGATCCCCTCCGTCCCCCTTCATTACCAACTCGCCGGAGAATTCATCTGTGACCGGAAAATTCAAAGATTTTTCCAGAACACGTTCATCCACCTCCTTCGTTCTTCATACAATTTTTTCCAGAATCCACTCAAATCTTCATCGTTCTTCATCCACTTCTCCAGAGCGCCAACAATCTTCATCCAAATAGTTGCCAGAAACGTCCATCCACCAGACGAACATCAAAGATCCTCTGAAGATCTTCCTCAGGACATTTACGCCACTCAAAGGATCTTCAGGATCCATCTGCTTCAGATTCATAGCGTCATCGGTTCTTGAGTTTCTCCGCCCAGATCTTCGTAGAGTTCGTGGAGTTCTTCGCTAATCTGTTCAAGAGATTCGAGCAAGCTTCGACGCGCGCTTCAAGGCCTCCGTGAGTTCCTTCAACGATCTGGAAGATGTCAAGATCTTCCTCTCTCGTGGCAATTTTCACTGAGCCTCCAAAAGGATCCCGGTGACGTCCTCGTTTCAGGTTAGCCCTCTCTCATAACCGCCATGAATGTTCTTAGCATAAGCTTCTTGTTTTGTTTTTGTTCTGAGGATTAGGATTCTAGGGATGATTCGTATAAGGTTGAGCTGATTGAAGGGTTTGGTGTTTTTTCTGGGAATGGATTGTGAGAGGGGGACGAGTTGCAGAGAAGAGATAGGGTGAGGAAGACGGACGAAAACGGCTAGGGTTTGGGGGTTAGATTGATGAACAGTGTTAGGGTTTGGGAGAGGATTAGGTTTTGTTCAGCAGATAGTTGGGTTAGGGTTGAGGTATTGGGCTAAGCCCAAACGCGTTTTCTGAACGCTACACCCCTCAATTGCTCGTTACCCCCCCCTGGCGTGTGAGATCAGAATGGATTGAGTTGGGCCTTAGGCCCTAATGGCTATCTGCACCCCCCTGGGCGTAAGCCCAGTGAAATTGACTGGGAAATCTGCTAGTCTGCACCCCCTGCGTTTTGCATCTTTTTTTTGTTGTGTGATGAGTTTCTGGTAAGTGCTGGGCCTGCGCCTAATGGCTATCTGCACCACCCCTGGGCATAGGCCCAATGATGAATAACTAAATCCCTTACTGTTTGAACCCCCACCCCCATTTTGTTTCTTTTATTTTTCTTTTATATTTTCATGATTGTAAATAATTCATAAAAAATTGAAAATAATTGTTTTTTTTAATTCTTCTTTGTTCTACCATTTCATGAAAATGTTTAGAAAATTAGATAAAAATAAAAATGCCATTTTATTTTTATTTCCTATTTTTGTGTATATTTTCCATTTAATTGATGTTTTTAATATTTTCAATGCATGCATATCATTAGAAAATTCATAAAAAATGGTAGATTTAGTCAAATAATTCCGTTCTTTTTTCTGTAGACTCGTAATTCAGTGTAGAATTTTATAGTATAAAAACATTAGCTTAATCATGCATTTTCATTTTAATTGCATTTTTTCACTGTTATTGATGTTGAATAAATGGGTTT